AGATCTACCTGTCCTGATCCCACACACCTGCACTGCTCCTGGAGATCTACCTGTCCTGATCCCACACACCTGCACTGCTCCAGGAGATCTACCTGTCCTGATCTCACACACCTGCACTGCTATTGGAGATCTACCTGTCCTGATCCCACACACCTGCACTGCTCCTGGAGATCTACCTGTCCTGATCCCACACACCTGCACTGCTATTGGAGATCTACCTGTCCTGATCCCACACACCTGCACTGCTATTGGAGATCTACCTGTCCTGATCCCACATACCTGCACTGCTCCTGGAGATCTACCTGTCCTGATCCCACACACCTGCACTACTCCTGGAGCAGTGCACACCTGCACTGCTCCGGGAGATCTACTTGTCCTGATCCCACACGCCTGCACTGCTTCCGGAGATCTACCTGTCCAGATCCCACACACCTGCACTGCTCCCGGAGATCTACCTGTCCTGATCCCACACACCTGCACTGCTCCTGGAGATCTACCTGTCCTGATCCCACACACCTGCACTGCTCCTGGAGATCTACCTGTCCTGATCCCACACACCTGCACTGCTCCGGGAGATCTACCTGTCCTGATCCCACACGCCTGCAATGCTCCCGGAGATCTACCTGTCCTGATTCCACACACCTGCACTGCTCCTGGAGATCTACCTGTCCTGATCCCACACACCTGCACTGCTCCGGGAGATCTACCTGTCCTGATCCCACACGCCTGCACTGCTCCCGGAGATCTACCTGTCCTGATCCCACACACCTGCACTGCTCCTGGAGATCTACCTGTCCTGATCCCACACACCTGCACTGCTCCAGGAGATCTACCTGTCCTGATCCCACACACCTGCACTGCTCCTGGAGATCTACCTGTCCTGATCCCACACGCCTGCACTGCTCCCGGAGATCTACCTGTCCTGATCCCACACACCTGCACTGCTCCGGGAGATCTACCTGTCCTGATCCCACACACCTGCACTGGTTCTGGAGATCTACCTGTCCTGATCCCACACACCTGCACTGCTCCCGGAGATGTACCTGTCCTGATCCCACACACCTGCACTGTTCCCGGAGATCTACCTGTCCTGATCCCACACGCCTGCACTGCTCCGGGAGATCTACCTGCACTGCTCCCGGAGATCTACCTGTCCTGATCCCACACACCTGCACTGCTATTGGAGATCTACCTGTCCTGATCCCACACACCTGCACTGCTATTGGAGATCTACCTGTCCTGATCCCACACACCTGCACTGCTCCTGGAGATCTACCTGTCCTGATCCCACACGCCTGCACTGCTCCTGGAGATCTACCTGTCCTGATCCCACACACCTGCACTGCTCCTGGAGATCTACCTGTCCTGATCCCACACACCTGCACTGCTCCAGGAGATCTACCTGTCCTGATCCCACACACCTGCACTGCTCCTGGAGATCTACCTGTCCTGATCCCACACGCCTGCACTGCTCCCGGAGATCTACCTGTCCTGATCCCACACACCTGCACTGCTCCTGGAGATCTACCTGTCCTGATCCCACACACCTGCACTGCTCCCGGAGATCTACCTGTCCTGATCCCACACGCCTGCACTGTTCCCGGAGATCTACCTGTCCTGATCCCACACGCCTGCACTGCTCCGGGAGATCTACCTGCACTGCTCCCGGAGATCTACCTGTCCTGATCCCACACACCTGCACTGCTATTGGAGATCTACCTGTCCTGATCCCACACACCTGCACTGCTATTGGAGATCTACCTGTCCTGATCCCACACACCTGCACTGCTCCTGGAGATCTACCTGTCCTGATCCCACACGCCTGCACTGCTCCTGGAGATCTACCTGTCCTGATCCCACACACCTGCACTGCTCCTGGAGATCTACCTGTCCTGATCCCACACACCTGCACTGCTCCGGGAGATCTACCTGTCCTGATCCCACACACCTGCACTGCTCCTGGAGATCTACCTGTCCTGATCCCACAAGCCTGCACTGCTCCCGGAGATCTACCTGTCCTGATCCCACACGCCTGCACTGCTCCTGGAGATCTACCTGTCCTGATCCCACACGCCTGCACTGCTCCCGGAGATCTACCTGTCCTGATCCCACACGCCTGCACTGCTCCCGGAGATCTACCTGTCCTGATCCCACACGCCTGCACTGCTCCGGGAGATCTACCTGTCCTGATCCCACACGCCTGCACTGCTCCGGGAGATCTACCTGTCCTGATCCCACACACCTGCACTGCTCCTGGAGATCTACCTGTCCTGATCCCACACACCTGCACTGCTCCGGGAGATCTACCTGTCCTGATCCCACACACCTGCACTGCTCCTGGAGATCTACCTGTCCTGATCCCACAAGCCTGCACTGCTCCCGGAGATCTACCTGTCCTGATCCCACACGCCTGCACTGCTCCTGGAGATCTACCTGTCCTGATCCCACACGCCTGCACTGCTCCCGGAGATCTACCTGTCCTGATCCCACACGCCTGCACTGCTCCCGGAGATCTACCTGTCCTGATCCCACACGCCTGCACTGCTCCGGGAGATCTACCTGTCCTGATCCCACACGCCTGCACTGCTCCGGGAGATCTACCTGTCCTGATCCCACACACCTGCACTGCTCCTGGAGATCTACCTGTCCTGATCCCACACGCCTGCACTGCTCCGGGAGATCTACCTGTCCTGATCCCACACACCTGCACTGCTCCTGGAGATCTTCATTCGCTGCTTCAGGTGTGTTTGATCAAGGATGGAGATGGAGATGAACTCTGTAGGAAGGCAGATCTCCAACAGCAGGATTATACACCTCTGCCCTAAAAGTATGTAGTGTTTTTGTGAAGAAAAGTACACTTTTGAGTGTGTAGCAGAAGAGTAGACAAGCTTTGGGACACTACTTCATCATAACTGTCTGTAACAGACAGCTCTGTCTCTTAGATCTGTGCGTCCTGTCACCGTTTAAACTGTCCTGTTAATCATCTTGTCACAGTTAAAATCCTCCACATTCAAAAGGCTTATACTGATGAACTGGAAAAATCCTCTTCCACCAAGCAACTTTCTTTAGATGCATGACCTGTTGCAGTTTATTCGAATAGAAAAAAAATTAGATTTACAATGATTGGCAGAACAAAACAATTTCACATGATTTGGCAACCTTTTCTTTTGTACTTTAAAAAATAATAATTTTCTTATAAATTACCCTTTGCTTAACTACTCCTTTGCTTTTGACCCTTACCCTTACTATTGTCCACTCTCTCGTCCCTGTCTGATTAAGAAACAGAGTACATAAAAAAGGGAAATAAATAGTATTTGGTTTTCTTGACAGCTGGCAGTGATAGTTTAAAAAAGGTGCAAAGTTTTTTTGTTTTTGTTTTGTTTTGTTGTTGTTGTAATATTTAGTTTTTGCTGTATTTTATCTATATTGCTACCACACTGTATATGCATACTACATTAATATTATTCTTACTTGTATTGTTTTGTAATATACTAGTATGTTTGGAACAGTGGCGTAGGCAGAAATTGTATTTTTGGGTGGGCCAGTGAAAATGTGACTGGGCCTATAGTTTTTCCTAGAAAAAAAATGACTTCAATAATAATTAACATTAATAGACGAACTGAAAAAACAGTTAGCTGCTACACCTTTATATTCGGCAAATCATCATGTTCAACCAACAGAGCTCAATAAAGGCTGGACAAACCAGTATAGACAATAACCTGTCTATTTTATTCTATTCAGCAGTGCAAATACAGTTCACCCGAAAATAAAAGTAAGCTAAAATAATAATATCACACTTAGATCGGCGGATAAACCCGCGTCAGGCTGACGGGGAGAGAGGGAGCAAGAAGCGGCCGGCGCCAACACCTGACTAGCCTTCTCCTGGGGTAATGAGTCGGAAGAACTGGGCTGGGTGGACTCGGACTCTCGCTTTTTTTCAAATAGCACATTAAAGAAAGTTTAGCCATTATTGTGGCGCCGACGCCGCTGAGAGTTTTCCTGTCGGAACCCCCAGCAACCATAGCAACCAATAATTTTCCGGAGAGAGGCTTTCTACAACTTGCTTCACCGGTTAAAATTTATTCGGAAAACAAATTAAACACACACAGCAGTCAACAATTAATCAGGTATATATTAATATATTTTCATAAATACATTTGAATAATAAAAATAAAATAAAAAATGTATTTTTATCAAACTTGCCTGGGCGGGCCAGTGAGTAATGTGGGCGGGCCAGTGCCGCCCTGGCCCAATACTGGTTTGGAAGCAACCATTTATAATCCTTTTTTTTTGTATGTTTTTGTTTAATTGTTTTTTTGTTGTTGAATCAGAGAGTAAGAATTACCTCTGCTTAATTTCATCTGTATTTTTTGGTCCATATGTCGAATCAAACACTATTGTCTTTCTCTTATTATCTCTCTGATTAGAAAAGCATCAATAAAAAGAGTTAAAGAAAAAAATTCTCCACATTCAATTTAATTTGATTTAATCCTGTTTGAACTGAAGCTGTACGTTGATCTGCCAGTAATGTGTTTTTTATGTGGAGACTCTCCTCGATTGTTTGCATAAGGATGATCAAACGCATCATCATGAAAAGTTTACGTTGTTGCAGATTTTTTCTACAGGTTAGATATTTTTCACTTAAACCCCTTTATCCAAACCTCTCAACTTAAGCAATATTCAATAAAAAATAAGAATTGTCAAATTTGATTTCATGGTGATTGTTTCTTATAAATGATTTATCCATGCATTTTTTTAAATTCATGTGCTCTGTAATCTTGAGTCAGAATAACTTCCTCTTGCAGCATCTCTTCTCTGATGACGAGGGCGGGGCAATAACCTGTCACTCACATGAGATCAGCCAATAGCAAACCACAACCATTCAATCAACTCCCCACAGACGAACTCAATCTTGATGACGTGGCAGCCGGGATATCCAGCCTTACCAGGACACAGCTGTCCAAAGGGTGGCACCCAAAGGCTTTTTACAATCAGAGAGGTACTACTAATGTCAAAAACTTTATTTACAATGAACTGCATAACATCTCCAGATATCATTGTTCAGTTGCAGTGGCTTCATCCAGGCGCTTTTCCAGGAGTGTTGAGTTCACACGGTGCATCATCAGAAACTGTCCATTTAAATGAAAGACGGGGATGTGATATCTGTACCTGTCGTACCAGACTCTGTTCTCCGGGAGAGTGATGTCCACCTCCTGCAGCTGGACCTGGAACAGCGAAGGACACACACACACACACATTAGACAGGAGAGCAGAGGAACACCGAGTGAACAGAGTGAGTGACACACACACATTACACACAGTCTTACCCGGTGTACAAACGGCTCGAGGGCTGCCTTCGCTTCGTCACACAGAGGACACGGGTCCTGGACACAGAACAGAGATCTGATCACGTCATGCATGTGTTAGTGAACTTATTGCAGTTTGGAAGACCTACATTAACAAACATGTGCAGCAGTATCAGAGCTCACAGCATGAGACACACACACACACGCTTGTGCGGCACGCTTGGTTTGAACACATTGCTAGCTTGTTTTAGCATTTTCTAACCTATTTTACCAAGTAGCTAGTTGATTTAGCACATTGGTAAAAGGTTGCTAGCATGTTCTAGTTGCTAGGCTAGATAGATCAGAATTTTTGACAGTTGGAGTTTGAACAGTTTTGGCTCATTCCTTCAATGAAAGTCTATGGGATGTTCTGATCTGTCGGTTTAGGAAAACCATAGGTCTGATCGGTTAGAAAAGAAAAAGCAACCAGAGTCAGAGCAGGCCGAAGGTCAAACAAAAGAAAGTTTGGTGGTCATAGCTAGAAGGTTTTTTAAATAGTTGTTTTGGTCTTGGAAGAAGAAGCAGCAGCTGAAATAGTAGATCAGCTTGTGTCAGGCCAACAGAAGTAGGCAACAGACCTCAGGCAGGTTAGACTGCATGTAACAGATGAGAGCGAGGCTTGAGTCTCTACAATCGCTGTCCATTTAACTTATTGCCAAAATTGGAATATCGCATTAAACATTTGCGAATAAAGAAGCGTTTCCATCCAGTGAGTCGAAGAGAACAAAAACATCACTTCCTGATAAACTGGTGCTGAATATCAATAGCAAAAGTAGAAGCCACTGTAATAATCTCTGTATAATAAATGGCTTGTGCATTAGAGCACAGATGAAACTCACTAACAGATGCAGCTCTCAGAGCGCAGTCACGACACACACCTCACACTACACTCAAACACCGTCACACACCTCACACTACACTCAAACACCGACACACACCTCACACTACACTCAAACACTGACACACACCTCACACTACACTCAAACACTGACACACACTTCACACTACACTCAAACACCGACACACACCTCACACTACACTCAAACACTGACACACACTTCACACTACACTCAAACACCGTCACACACCTCACACTACACTCAAACACCGACACACACCTCACACTACACTCAAACACTGACACACACTTCACACTACACTCAAACACCGACACACACCTCACACTACACTCAAACACTGACACACACCTCACACTACACTCAAACACTGACACACACCTCACACTACACTCAAACACCGTCACACACCTCACACTACACTCAAACACTGACACACACCTCACACTACACTCAAACACTGACACACAATTCACACTACACTCAAACACTGACACACACTACACTCAAACACTGACACACACTTCACACTACACTCAAACACTGACACACACCTCACACTACACTCAAACACCGTCACACACCTCACACTACACTCAAACACCGACACACACCTCACACTACACTCAAACACTGACACACACCTCACACTACACTCAAACACTGACACACACCTCACACTACACTCAAACACTGACACACACCTCACACTACACTCAAACACTGACACACACCTCACACTACACTCAAACACTGACACACACTTCACATTACACTCAAACACTGACACACACCTCACACTACACTCAAACACTGACACACACCTCACACTACACTCAAACACTGACACACACTTCACACTACACTCAAACACTGACACACACCTCACACTACACTCAAACACTGACACACACCTCACACTACACTCAAACACTGACACACACTTCACACTACACTCAAACACTGACACACACTTCACACTACACTCAAACACTGACACACACTTCACACTACACTCAAACACTGACACACGTCACACTACACTCAAACACTGACACACACTTCACACTACACTCAAACACTGACACACACCTCACACTACACTCAAACACTGACACACACCTCACACTACACTCAAACACTGACACACACCTCACACTACACTCAAACAGACACACACCTCACACTACACTCAAACACTGACACACACCTCACACTACACTCAAACACTGACACACACCTCACACTACACTCAAACACTGACACACACCTCACACTACACTCAAACACTGACACACACTTCACACTACACTCAAACACTGACACACACTACACTCAAACACTGACACACACTTCACACTACACTCAAACACCGACACACACCTCACACTACACTCAAACACTGACACACACTTCACACTATACTCAAACACTGGCACACACCTCACACTACACTCAAACACCGACACATACTTCACACTACACTCAAACACCGACACACACTTCACACTACACTCAAACACTGACACACACCTCACACTACACTCAAACACTGACACACACCTCACACTACACTCAAACACCGACACACACTTCACACTACACTCAAACACCGACACACACTTCACACTACACACTTCACACTACACTCAAACACCGACACACACTTCACACTACACTCAAACACCGACACACACTTCACACTACACTCAAACACTGACACACACTTCACACTACACTCAAACACTGACACACACTTCACACTACACTCAAACACTGATACACACTTCACATTACACTCAAACACTGACACACACCTCACACTACACTCAAACACTGACACACACTTCACACTACACTCAAACACTGATACACACTTCACACTACACTCAAACACTGACACACACTTCACATTACACTCAAACACTGACACACACTTCACACTACACTCAAACACTGACACACACCTCACACTACACTCAAACACTGACACACACTTCACACTACACTCAAACACTGACACACACCTCACACTACACTCAAACACTGACACACACCTCACACTACACTCAAACACTGACACACACTTCACACTACACTCAAACACTGACACACACTTCACTCAAACACCGACACACACCTCACACTACACTCAAACACCGTCACACACCTCACACTACACTCAAACACTGACACACACTTTACATTACACTCAAACACTGACACACACTTCACATTACACTCAAACACCGGCACACACTTCACACTACACTCAAACACTGACACACACCTCACACTACACTCAAACACTGACACACACTTCACACTACACTCAAACACTGACACACACTTCACACTACACTCAAACACTGACACACACTTCACACTACACTCAAACACTGACACACACTTCACTCAAACACCGACACACACCTCACACTACACTCAAACACCGTCACACACCTCACACTACACTCAAACACTGACACACACCTCACACTACACTCAAACACTGACACACACTTCACACTACACTCAAACACTGACACACACCTCACACTACACTCAAACACTGACACACACTTCACACTACACTCAAACACTGACACACACCTCACACTACACTCAAACACTGACACACACCTCACACTACACTCAAACACTGACACACACTACACTCAAACACTGACACACACTTCACATTACAATCAAACACCGTCACACACCTCACACTACACTCAAACACTGACACACACTTCACACTACACTCAAACACCGACACACACTTCACACTACACTCAAACACTTCACACTACACTCAAACACCGACACACACTTCACACTACACTCAAACACCGACACACACCTCACACTACACTCAAACACCGTCACACACCTCACACTACACTAAAAAAACACACACCACACTTCACACTAAACTCAAACACTGACACACACTTCACACTACACTCACTGACACACTTCACACTACACTCAAACACTGACACACACTTCACACTACACTCAAACACCGACACACACTTCACACTACACTCAAACACCGTCACACACCTCACACTACACTCAAACACTGACACACACCTCACATTAGACTCAAACACGTCACACACCTCACACTACACTCAAACACTGACACACACCTCACACTACACTCAAACACTGACACACACTTCACACTACACTCAAACACTGACACACACCTCACACTACACTCAAACACTGACACACACTTCACACTACACTCAAACACTGACACACACTTCACATTAGACTCAAACACTGACACACACTTCACATTAGACTCAAACACGTCACACACCTCACACTACACTCAAACACTGACACACACCTCACACTACACTCAAACACTGACACACACCTCACATTAGACTCAAACACGTCACACACCTCACACTACACTCAAACACTGACACACACCTCACACTACACTCAAACACTGACACACACTTCACACTACACTCAAACACTGACACACACTTCACACTACACTCAAACACTGACACACACTTCACTCAAACACCGACACACACCTCACACTACACTCAAACACCGTCACACACCTCACACTACACTCAAACACTGACACACACCTCACACTACACTCAAACACTGACACACACTTCACACTACACTCAAACACTGACACACACCTCACACTACACTCAAACACTGACACACACCTCACACTACACTCAAACACTGACACACACTTCACACTACACTCAAACACTGACACACACCTCACACTACACTCAAACACTGACACACACTTCACACTACACTCAAACACTGACACACACCTCACACTACACTCAAACACTGACACACACCTCACACTACACTCAAACACTGACACACACTACACTCAAACACTGACACACACTTCACATTACAATCAAACACCGTCACACACCTCACACTACACTCAAACACTGACACACACTTCACACTACACTCAAACACTGACACACACTTCACTCAAACACCGACACACACCTCACACTACACTCAAACACCGTCACACACCTCACACTACACTCAAACACTGACACACACCTCACACTACACTCAAACACTGACACACACTTCACACTACACTCAAACACTGACACACACCTCACACTACACTCAAACACTGAC